CCCCGTGGCGTATTCACATCCGCATTTCACGTCGGGCGTCACTTGAATTCTCACGCGCACGGTAGAATGAGGGAGCGACGTAGAGACCGACACGCACAGGTGACCGAGAACGCGTGCCGACGAAGTGATCGTGGTACTAACATGCGCGCGTCTAAGGCGCACAAGGCGTGTCAACCTGACTCCGGCGACCATTGATAACGGAGACACACACAGAGACAGGCAACACTTTTATTAATTATAAATAGTGACATAAGTACGCTCCACAAGATTGGAAACTTCTCTTAAAAACCTGCGAGTAATTTTGATCTCACTAACCTATTGAGTGTAAATTTTAACATATGATGAATTCGTTTCCCAAAATTGACGTAGATCCTGGGAATGGACTGCAACCTTCCAAAATGTCAAAAATGCGTACATAAGCACCCCGTACGAAAATCAATGATTTGACTTGATAGCGGTTTGGCATTTTTATCTATTTCATAGTTTTGGAAATGTCATTTTGCTGTGTCGCTGGGGCATAGCATTTCGGTATTTTTCTTTAATTCTATTTTTCGTCGCCTGACTAGCAGAAACGTTGATAGTGCCAAGTTGCTTCACGGTATTTATCTCCTAAAAGCAAGTTTACTATTTATGGATGAACGAAGTTTTCTTTCTTATTTCTTACTGTGTGCCTCTATTCCTTTTACTAAGCTCTTTCGCGGAAACCGAATAGTGAAAAGTTCTGCAACAGATGTCGATATCTTTGTTTCTCCCAATTGCCCCCCTCTGGCGGAAATTCGTGAGGACATCAAGATCTACTATGATCGAATTTGGAAGTCAAATGACAAAAAGCGTAGGCTTCGAGTGAATCCGGATCTCTGTCCAAATGTCGCCATTCTCCGACTGTTTCCATCAATTTCAGCAGAAACCGTGAGAGCTTTCTTCCAACCTCCCGTAGAAGGTAAGAAAAGACAAATTTATATGTAGATCACCTTGGGCTTTCCTTCTGTTCCCATAGTATTTAATTTTTGTTTGACAAAACTACCAGTCTACGCACCCTGGTATAATTAACGTTTTGGTATTCGAGATAAATGTATGGTAGAAAGAAACGATCAGAATATTTGTAGCTGTTAAGTGAGTACGTCAGTTCTTTCCTGCTGTGTTTTATTCGTCGAAACCGGAAAATACACGCAATATATGATGTTAGAAAGATATTCGAGGGCTTAACGTATATGTTAACTATTCGTACGAAGAACCTTCGTTGTTAACAATAGAAAATGGAGTATAAAAGCGTTCTACAAAACTGATTCCTTGAGCAAACTTAAATGCTCAAAAAAGTCCGTAGTTCCAGTGCAAAACACCATGGATTACACTAATTTAAATATTAGAACGCAATCGGCAAACGAACGAGATATTCAGATTAGCAAAAGTGAGAGGTCTGAGATCAAAATCAGAGAACTTAAAGTACCTCACCAGAGGAAGTTTTGATTCATGCTGAAATTTGGGAGAGCTTGGCCAATTCTAAATTTTCAAAGCGTCCACTGTCACTATCGATCAATGATTTGAATGACTGACCGAACTTGTTGGCCATTAGTTGATCGATTTTTTCTCGTTCGCTGCTTTGGCCCTCGTATGGATGTTTTCGTAGTTTGACTCGGTGAATGGTGCTGTTAATGCTGCTTCTTTTTCCAGTGGGTTCGTCACGGAGCCGTCTTCTTTCGTCCTGGTCTTCATAACCTAATCTCGTAGGACTGTATAGGTCACAGGAAGTTCTAGATGCCCATTGACTTAATTGACATGAATATAAATGGCGCCTCGGCTCCCTGCTTGTTATCCATATCGGAGAGACTGGCCATATCTTTGACATGCTAGGAGCGACCATCTTAGGCCGGAGCACGTCAAAAGTGGAGCAACTAACGTTTGAGGTATGTCATTCTGATGCCAACTCTGTCAAAAGGCATTTAGACCTTACTGCGGGCTATGAAGTCCTGCGCCATTATGTGCACAAAGACCAGGGCAAGGTCACATGTAACTTAAGAAATGTGAACGAAGACGGCCCCGCGACGAAACCACTGGAAGAGGAAGCAGTCCTACCAGCACCATTTACAGAGTTAACGAAATGCAACACTACCGGCAGTCAAGCTACACAAATGTACACCCGAGGGTCGAGACAGCGAACGAGGGGAAAAAAATCGACAAAGTAAAGGCCGGCAAGTTCAGCCAGTCATTGCAATCCAAATAAGTAATTGAAGACCACTTTCATATGAATTTGTTCAAATCTTCCGTCGACGGTTACTAGCCAAAAATAGGACTTGCGTCTATCCTTTATTCATACTGTTTTACAGGTGTGATCCTTCAGACCTACGGCGCGGGAAATGTACCCTCAAACAACGAGGAACTGATTGAAATCCTACGAGAGGCCAGTCTGGATAGAAAAATCCTTATTCTTAACACAACACAGTGCTGGAGAGGGACAGTACTTGGCGTGTACGCGACGGGAGCCATTCTCAACACTGTCGGTGTAGTTTCCGGCTGCGTATGTGCTTCTGCCCGTGCAGTGCTATCTCCACACCCTTTTGATATTTTGGCAGCCATAACCCCTCATACATTTACTACTTCTTTTTGTTCTTACCCTGAGCAATTGAACATCCTATTTGATTGCATTATGCGCTCGACGATCGTTAAAAGCACGGTGTAGTACCGCCTGCCATGCAAGAGTATGCCCAAGACACAAAAATGCATCGAGAATGGCAAAAGTACTGCACTTGCAAGCGCGGTGCGCTGATCGTCAGCCGCTAATAAATGCAAAACCTTGTTAGGTATTTTTGGGAATGAACCCCCTATGAAATTAATATTATGCAGATGGTACTTACTGTTGGTTGGGCACGGGATATGGACCACTGTCTGTATTGCAGACGGCGTCGTATTAAATTCTACTTGACATGGTTCGCGTTGGAGTTAGGGTTAAAGTTATAAAGGTTACTGTTGGGGTTAGGGTTGAAGTTAGAACACACGGATAGAGGTCATGGAATTAAACGCAAGGCCATCTGAGGTATGAGAGGTCCATATCCCTGTTTCTGATCCGCAGTGCCTACCAGAAAATATTGTTTGAAGTAAGGAGCCAATAGAGGCAATAGACAGCATAAGCCAATTTAAATTCTAGTGCTAACTTCCAGTTTCCTCCAGGTAAGTTTTAGCACAACAGTAATATACTTGGGCTGCCATATTTAATCCCACCGGTGGTGAGATACCTGAACACCAAAACACCGCAATTTTGGGAACACGAATTTATTCGAACAGCGAATAAATGAATTTCTTCGTTTTGGTTTGGCAGGACGCGCGCTTTTATGAATTTACGTGTTTATTAAAGACACGATCTCCAGATGACTCGGTACGGCTGAGGAAACGATGAAGATTCCTACCTTCAATAAGGGTAGACATTTGCCTCCTTTTCCGCTCATTTTATCGTAATATTCTATTCACTCGATACTAGTACTCTGTGATTACTTTTGGAACTCTGAATTTTGTTCTGGGGGTTATCGACAGCTACAAATACCATGTGACGTAGGACAGTGATTGTGGACTGTACCAATCTAGGCAATTCAACCAAGATGTCGGTGATGTTGTTTCGTGTCCATAAAAATAGTCAATTGGAACAAGAGAGTACTTAAATAGAGCGTTCCTTTGAGCTGCGACCAAAGAGGAACTACGGACTTGTGTTAGACACGGGTTGCCTATCGCCATTTCCCGAATCTTATCCTAACCCCACGTTTTTACCCTTAAGACAGCCGTCTCACCCTTAACCCTAACTCTATTAACCCACGCTAATCCTAACTCCCCTTGAAATTTAGTGCAAATTCTGTACTACGAGATGTGCTTATAACAGTACCCTATCTAAGCTTGAACTATATTACATTATTCCCGGTACTTCATGTTCAACATTTCACAATTCTGCCATGTCACGATCTCAGACAGATGCATTGAAGTATATTTGTTATCTACGAGTAAGCTTCGTCGAGTGAACGGTCCCTGAGTGCTCGGCGCTTGCAGAAGAGGGCTGTGATTGGCTTTAAACTAGGAAAATTAGTGATCTGTCGTTTACTTTGTATTCTTTTTTTATAAACGAAAACTAATTCGAACACTGTCTACGTTGTCAGGATATGACACCCGAAGGGGCCCTCATGAAGATGGCCTACGTGCTGGCTAAATGGAAGGATCCCGCCACGCGTCGCCGCATGCTGGCGCACAGCCTGCGTGGTGAGATGACAGAACCCATCTTGGAAACCAGAGTGGGTCTGCAACCCATCATAGCTTCGTCCCGCCAAACGACAAATGTCTCATTTGAGCACACCCGCGGACTGGGTGAACTCCTTTCCAGCGCCGCTGCCAACAGCCTAACTCCCCAATGGGCACAAAAAGTGTTCCCTGCCCTTATGTGTACCGCTGCAGAGACCGACGATACGGAGACCCTGGAGCAACTCTTCCGAATTGCCGGCCACTTTGAGGTAAATGCATATGGGCAACAGAGTACTAGCTGTTGTGCCGCGCGGGCTGTGGCGTTTAGCGTCAATTCTGCCGTCGTAAATGGCCAGGTCCACTGGGTGTTCCATAGCATGGTAGGCGTGAGACGGCGATCTGCGCGTGAAGTACTTTTATATTGGCAGCATGATTGGGCAGTATCTGTTGGTTCTCATCTCGCCCCATCCTTCGTGAGTCGGACTTCTAACTTACAGGTCGCGGGCCCGAGCCTCAGATGTTGTAACACCTGGGATTAGGTACGACCGGCTCATGACGGCTAATAAGCCAAAAATGGTCACTGTTTCGCCTTCTTGACTTCTCCGGCTGTATCCAGCAGTCACGAGTAGGCCAAAACCAGTGATAACAACTATCAAGGTGGTACGGCACTCAACAATGGACACACCAAGTCAAGACCGAAAAGAGTTGGTCAAGTCGGTCAAGAGTCAGTCAAGACTCTATGAAATTTCAACAATAACGCCACGCAGGACGAAACTAGTCTTGGGAAAGCTTGTGTGTGTTATAGGGAGAGGATGTGGCTCCGTTTTTATAAGATTTCGTGAGACAATTCGTGTAGCGTCAGGATTGGTGTGAAAGACCAGCGCGAAAAGGGGATGGGGTTCGTGAACAGAGGCGATATGAAAGTGTCAACGACGGGGGTTTGCTGGACGAGTGGTTCTCGGAGTAGCCGCGGCAACTGGGTCAAAGAGGTGGGAGGGGGGAGCGGACAACGGGCTCGCTACCACAACGTCACTCAGGGAGTCGAAACGACAGTCTCTGGCATCAGCGGGGAGTAGATAGCATCGTGGTAACCAAACCGGGAGCAGTA